TCGAGGTAGCAACAAACGTAATGCTCATGTATATTAGCAAAATTCATTTCGGGTACAATGGCATATTACTAATCCCCCTGGCCAACCCTGATTATATATTTAACAATTATTCCACCAGTGCGCGTTGGATATGAGATGGTAGATAGCCAACGCGTATAAAGCGCCGAATGGGCTGTAATCATCTCATATCCAACGAGAGCGAGTGGAATAATTGTTTTATTAAAAACGTAAACAAAATATCAAGAAATCTTCTCGACTTTATTTGTAAAAGCAACCGATTATTAGCTCGTTTTTAATTTTGAGCAGACGCATACAGTTACCATATTTGGAGAGCATGGTATAATGGCCCATATGCTATGATGGCTAAGCCAATCATAGCTCTAGAATTGCATTATCCGATGATTTAGTTGTTAATAACATTTTTATGCAACAAACAGAATGCCTCATGGGCCGACTATTATTCAATGTCAATTCAGACTCAATGTTGAGACAAGAAAATAGGTCACGCCAGTTGTCACACTGCAGGTAAGGAGAGTGCAATGTGACACAACCTAAATTGCTAATTCGTTTCCAGCAGTATCTTTTAATTAAGGCAATGGTCCAATGGCGACAACACTCGCTCTTACTCGCAGAGCCAATGGTTCTACCACAGCTCGAGATCGGCAGCATCTGCAACGTAGTACCTTCAGGTAATTCTTGCGAAAACTCTTGTTGAGCACGCCGTAAATTAAAGGATTCAAAGCGCTGCTTATAGTGGCCAAAAAGGTATATGCCAGGTAAGCCTCGGGAGGGAAGGTCCACTTTTGGCGAACCGTGTCCACAAGGTCAATTGTTAAGACTGGAATCCAACAGAGATTAAAAAGCGCCACTACTACGAATATGGTGAGAGCCACCTTAACTTCTTCTACGTTTACCGGGTTTATTGGATTGCCAGGACAATTGTTATTGTGCTGGCGAACTGTTGTGAAGATTCTAAAGTAGCAGTAGATTATAACACCGGTAAGAAACCCTACGTAAAGCCGAAAACCATAGGCCAGAAATGCATTGCTTTCGATTGGAAAAGAACAGAAGAACTTGGAAGGATGAAAGATCATTTTTTTCCCTCTTAGCAAGTGAATTAGTGGAAAACAAATAGAATAGAGCCATGTCACAAAAATCATAGTCAGGGTTTTCTTCTTGGTGAAGTAACGGCGGTACTTTGTCGATTTGACGATTCTAAAATATCTGTTCACCGCCATTAATACCATTGTTTGAATCGATGCAACAACCATCGTAATAATAATGAAACCTTGAAATTGACAGATCGTGTCATTAAAAGGCCAATGAGAAGTCACTAATGTAGGGATGCCTAAAGCACCTACACTGAAAACTCCTAGTAATAAGTCGGAGACGGCGAGTGATGCCACGAACATGTTTGGAATTGTTCGCATTCGTCGGTTTAACAACAGAACCAGGAGTGTTAAGGAGTTTCCAACAAACAGGAACAACAAAATAAGCATGAATAAACCTGATTCCAGAATAACTTTGGTCTTGCTTCTGGATTTAAACTCTCTTAACATTTCTGCCAGTTGGCTCTTCATGGAATCCATTTTCTTTTCTTTCGTAGCGTTAACTGTTCCTGCTGGATAAAATATACAGAGAGGGTTAAAGAATATCATAAAATAGGTATTCTGCCCTGGGGGAAGGGGGCGCATCCCAAAATTATTTACAGCAGACTTCCAAACGAGGCGCACTGTTGATGCTCTCTTGAAAGGAAAACTCAGCAAAAAGAAAAAGCCCAGTTTTGTATTTTAAACTTGTCACGATTGTACTGCGCATAGGCGAGAGTAGTCAAGAGTCAGGTGCGCTATTTTTTCAACGCCAAAGGTGACGTTCTTCAGATAAATGCCCTTATTTACACCATGGATAAAAAAGCGGAACAAATATTTCAGAGGCTGTCTCAGTAATATATAGATTAAGCCAGGGCTAAAAGCGAAGCTCCAATTGTAATAAATTTATAATTTAAATCAAACAACAAACTTTTAATCCACAAATCATTCAACTTAAGGGCACATTCATGTGACTTTTGAGGGAAAGGCTAAGTTATTTTAGAGTGAAACATCTTACATCGAATTGATAACCTTATATGTACACCCAAAAAATAGCAAACATCTTCGATCACATTCAAGATCACAGTAGATTAGGCCTCGAAAACAAATTCTTGGAAAACAAATCACGCCCAATCTTTTTGCGTTCGACAGGTTTACTTTACAAATTCTTGCCAACAAATCTGGGGGTGTTTAAACCAACCTTTTATAATTTTTATACACCACATTTGAGGTGAAACAGTACTATTTATCATACAGAGCTAGGACAGAATGCGGTATTTCACAATTTTTCAAGACAAATTGCACTCAGTCAATATTCAGGACGAGCCAAACCGTTCAAAAATTTCAAAAAATTTCCAAAATCACCCATACAGCCAGCTGGTTCTCGTTTCTATAGTGCGAGCTGTCAGTGTGGTCGAGTGTTTGAATGAACTTTAACAGAGTTATGCTTCAACATAATAGCGAATTTATTATTATTTGTTTTGTTATTTAATGGTTTCCGTTATAACGATGTGTAATCTTATAAAGCGTTTGATGCCGCGCGACATTTTTGAGTACTCCTGCAAGCGATGGTCATGAACGATGAAAACAAACGGCACGGACAAGCGATTAAAATTGCAAGAGAGACTACTAACAATCAAAAAAAGAGATATAATTCCGTGAAACATTTACAGAGACAAGAATTTTCATTCATGAAGACAAGTATTAAAGTGTCTCTAAAAATCCTGAGTCTTTCAGCGTAAAGCTTAAGTTTATGTTTTAGCCGGCTTCCCAGCGCGGCGTTTACTGTCTTCGAAGGTGAACTCCTCGAAGCAAGAAAATCGCTCAAAGTTTTCTTTCTACAGCCAAATTTATAACTAAATATCCTTCGGAACGTTTTCTTTCTATTTGTGGTGAGCAAATATATCTGAAGGCTTTTTAAAGTTCTGTAAGCTTATATGAAACCTGCTACTAGGTCAGATCATTGACTCAAATCTTGCAAACGTGCATAAACTTAACGCATAAACTGTCAGCGTGAACAGTGCAAGACTTCATGAAACACAAACATCAAATACAATAATTACTTAGGCTTACCATTCGAGATTCAGTTCCTGAAAGCTATCAAGGGAACCACAGTTGCTTGAGACTTTTAAACCCTCTTACGCATTAAGCAAGGTGAAAAACGAAAACGATGCCATCCGAAATCGAATTACCGAATTTTGACAAGCGACGCATTTCTCAACCAAAACCCGGTAAACAAACCAGCCATGAATAACAGAAGACTCTTGATAGCAGCTGTATTTCATTTTTTACCTCCAGAGGAAAAAGACAGTTAAAAACATCACAAGTTGACAAAAAACTCTTCAGCTGTCAAAGTAAACTACTTTCAAGATGCTGCATAATTTTTCCGCATAAACTCACCTGTCAAATTTTGACCAACCAGAGCATAAAAATTGGACGTAGAGCGTGACCAACGCGTGACCATGGTAAGATAAGGTCTTACCCGTCTGTACTTTTAAAAAAAGTGGATGAATTTTCGCTTCCGAGGTCAGTTTGAAATCAAAATCCTAATAGTGCGGGGCCATAGTGACATAAACACAACATATTTGATATGAATCCTTGGAAAAAATAAACTTGAGCCTGCGATCATTTGAAACTGGTAATTTGTCAGCGGATAACTTTAAAAAATACTCCACCTCGATGGGTCGACACTTGAGCCCGCGGTACGGCCAGGTGATACTTGTCAGCGGATGCCCTGTTTTGATAGCTGTCAGTTGATCACAACATTGATGTGCAGCCTGTGCAATTAGTTTTCTCTTGGGCTCCCAAACTAGCTAAAAGTGTGAGAGTAAACATTGGTTTTCCTGTGGTGCGGACGGACGGCGGGCGGTCGGTGTACGGTCACGTGATTACCAAATTTTCTGGGATGGGTAGATTTACTTAGCAATGGGGCTCCGCCCACGCGCGCGCGAAGCGCGCGCGTGGAGCTCCGCTAAAAACCTCCTACTCCATTTCGCGTGAAAATAATTTTGCCTGAAACTGTGGCAAGTGAAAGCTTTTATCGAGACTATAACTAAACAAGAACGCTCTTAACACGGACATTAAGTCTTGCTTGCTTGGAGATTATATAAGACATGAGGAGGTGATTAATGCTACACGAAACAGGATTTACTCTGTTTTTCACTTGCTACTTTATCGACGGTCGAGTATTCTTCAGAATATTTACTTTTTATATCGTATTCGACGATTTGTTTCTGAACTGATTATTTAGTACGCGTGTTAGCGACGACCGGAAATACGCCTGCAGTCGCAGGCTATACGCTTGTGTAAATACACGAAAATTCAAGGGCCTCGATTCGAGAGATAATTACATCATTGCCAGAGATGAAAAAAAAAGAGGTCATGGACATGGCGCGTTCTTTCAATCATCTCTGAAAATAAACGGGATGCTCATCTCAAGACTCATCTGCATACAATGAAAGTTTAAAACACCCGACCAGTTAGCTTCACCATCGAAGTTTTCTAATTAAGATTCTTCTTTTTTTCGACTACCTAAGTGCTTACTTGTGTTACATAATCAACCTTGCGCATGCGCAATGCATTTACTAAAACACATGTTTCTCTACGACCGAGCTTGTATTTATAGAGAGTCGGAGGGTTATTAAAAGCGAGTGTTTTGACCTAAAGCGTATCTTTTCATGTTGTCAGACGTGGGAGTAGAAAAAGAAGAAAATAAACTCTTTCTGTTTATATCAGTATGACAATCCAACTGAGGAAACAGGTGTAAGTCTTCCAACTTCAGTGAACGAACGAGCAAGTGACACAAGAAACAAACTGGCGAGTCCCTCATTCATCGACAAGGGGCCTTCAGTCGACTGGAGCACAGATGACAACTTATATAATTGCTTCAAAATGTGAACTGTCACTCGACCGATGGCGAAAGTTGAAGAAGAAATCAAATGCAAGCATCTGTTATACTCGTCGGGAAAACACGGAATCGAACTTTTCAACAGCTGGGACATGTCTGCGGATGAGCTAGAAAAGCTGGACAATTACTAGATGAGATTCGAAAATTTGTCAAGCCACACTCCAATGAGTTAATAGCAATGTAGGAACTTCACCACTACCGACAAGGTACCCTCTCTCTGGAATAATTTATTGCAAAACTGAGAATCCCTGGGAAGGAGGCCAACTATCTGATCGAGCACAATGATCGATCCATGAGGGATTTCGTTGTGCTAAGAATGAACTCTGACCGTTTTCAAAAGGACTGCTTCAAAGTAGGAAATGCTTTCACCTTCAAGGACGTTCGTGATATGGCAAAGTCAGAAGAGTCGGCAGACAAACAGCTTCAGCTAATGAATACCGAAGTATACTCGATCAAAGTTCCTAAAGGATATCAACGCCAAGGAAACCAGCGACCAACTCCTTTCACTGGCTCAAGTAGACCGATAGTCTGCTACACAGCCGTTTTTAGTGTCGTCACGCAACGCTCCTCCCCACTAACGGCTGCTAAAAACCGAACTACATTCCTTTCCCTTGATTAGCCAATTATAATTCAGCTCCCATTTTCTGGAAAGTGTTCGCGCCACCTTTGCGGTACGGTGACTCCTCCAATCACAGCTTTGCTTTTATCGTTGCCCCATGTGTGAATGACAGAATAATCAAAATCGTCGCGTGAAAACAAGCAATTAACAACAGTGTTGTCGTAGTCGAGTCGTATTCAAAATTTAGGAGATAAGCAGCAACAGCAAGCAAGTCGAGCAAATTGCGATTCACAGCATGGATGTGCTCATAAAGTTGCCAGGTATAGTTTCGGGAAATCGCTCATCGATAATTTATAAGACTGCTTTTTGAATCACTACCCTTGAGAGTTTAGTCTTCACAGAACACAATGAGAACATCCGGTACATTAAATTCTTCACTACATATCAGCACATATGCACGTTAAATAAACAACCAACCGATCCTGGTAAAAGTTTTCTAGGCCTATCAAACCTTTTTTTCACTTGGAACTTTCTTGACCGCTTACAACAAACTTTTTTGCAAATTAACCTTTTCGTTGCTTGAAAACACAGAGCCCATCTAACTTCAGCGACGATTGATTGATTTGTCGAAAACTGAGAAGCGTGCTCGCTTCCTAGCGCCCTGCGGCTCACGTATTGTCAAATTTCTTGTACATGATTGGCTTGTTCGTTAGACCACAAACACAAAGGGAAAGGAATGTATTTCGGTTTTCAGCAGCCGTTAGTGGGGAGGAGCGTTGCGTGACGACACTAAAAACGGCTGTGTAGCAGACTAGTAGACCGAAAGCCCGCAAAAACAGTGGCTGGGGTCCCCACCCTCGAGAGTAGTGCCCAGCGAAGAATGCTACATGTCACTACTTCCAGAAAGTAGGAAACTTAGCAAAGGTATGTCTGTTAACGCAAAAGAATAGAAATGTGCATGAATCGAAGCGACCAGGGCTGGCCTGAGTGAATCAGTACGAGACTATAGCCAGTCATCCTGTAATGACATGTTTTTGGCCCCAATTAGTACAACACCCTTGACCAGTAATTAGTACGTTAATTTTTATTAGGTTTGCTATTGTAAGCATTTCAAGTGGCCCTCCATTTCTCAACTCTCGAGTAACTCTCCTCCACTCGAACGTTTTTGCTGGCCAAAGTTCAACATTTCCAACCATTAAGCCAATCAAAATGTATACATTCAGAATATTGTATACCTGCCAACTCTCACGCATTATGCACGAGTCTTACGCCTCTGGACTAAAGATATCGAACTCACGCATCAAGGACAATTTCTCACACCTGACTCACCTGACTTATTTCTGACGTTTGGGATCTAGTTGAAAGCTCTAGATCTGGTAAACGAAAAGATGGATCACCTGTTATTAAGAACATAGAAAAACCCATATACGATTTCAGTATTTCAAAAGTTATGATCGTATCAACGCATATGCGAGCTTATTCGATATTTTTAGCTCTAGCGTAACGGATCTATTTCAAGCTGATTTTGTCAAAAGTACGGCTTATCTAATTCATTACTGGCACTGACTCACAAATTGAGCTATATCACAATCCCTGAGATGCCAGATTCCATAAAATTCCGGTAATTGCACTTTAAAATTCCTGGTATGCGCCCAGATTTGAATTTCATGCTGACAATCCAAATCTCAAAACAGGTGAAACTGTGTCATGTTTCGAGCTAAATAGCTCTGTAAAACAACTTTCCAGAGATGAGCGTTTGCTAGAGAATCAGAAAATTAACTAAGCAGGTTTTATTTTCGGTCAGAAAATTGAGATTTAAGTGCTACAACCTCGAGTAAACCTTCCATTCAATCGGCTGCAGGTTGACTCGTAAACCGGAAATGTGAAAAACCAGAAATCCGGATCATCCGGAAATCGGTACATCTGAAATCAATCAGAAACCGAGGCCAATTTCCAAAAACAGAGATAGCTGCATTAGTTTAGGGCTTCTTCTTGACGCTGAGAGGCGTAAAAGATGGAACCTTCGAAATAAGCAAACCGTCGGTTGATTCGGCAAATAGGCTCCAGAAGAAACAGTAAATGTCATTTACCTGTCACAAACAGGAGATGTGCCCTAATATCACACTTGTGACTAAGGGCCCGTTTACATGGAGGTGGGGTACCCCAGATAGGTGAGGTAACCCGCTTAGGTGGGGTAGCCCGCCTGTCCATATAATCTTTCATTTTAATGTGATCACGTTTACATGTTAGGTGAGGTAACCCGCCACATGTTACCTCACCTACCTGGGGTCCCCCACCTTCATGTAAACAGGCCCTAATACTTCACATAAGTTAGCTATATTTCGAAACTGACTTTGGCGAGATCTAAATTTCAGTAGACGGGTTTTTTTCAGAGGATGGCTCTCCAAGAAAAAACTTGCTACAAAGTGTTCATTGAAATTCGCTCTTTTTTTCCACCCCTCTTCACGTTGAAAAGATGTTTTCGCAGAGAAATCGTCAACTCAAGATGAAACTTAAGATTTAAGATTTTTATTTGAAAGGGATTAGAATATCCACAAATTTAGCGTTAATGGAAGTGATCACATTAGTGGAATTTGCCTAACCAAAACAATGCACAAATCCACAGATGGCCGCTTACAGTTCACAGAATTATTTGTTTACTAAATTTACCCGAGGATTTTGCGCAAAAAGTGCTATACTTATATATGAAAGTGAAAAAGAAACATGCAAAAATTTAATTCTTTCGTCTGGATTGTTTTTTTCCGGCTAGGTTGATGAGTCTAAAAAGGAAATGGAAATGTAACTGAAATTATTTGTCTCTCGAGCTTTTTTGGCCATAATAGAAAACATATTAAGTTAAATAAATCTTAGCCGTACCTACCTGACGCTTATAGTTCGTGAATGATATTCTTCGTAAGGGGTAGAATAACCCCACCTGATGGGACTTCTTTCTTTTGTTAAAGAAAATCGTGAATGTCACTTTGGTAGTACGAAAGTGAACTTAAGTTAACGACAAATAATATATGTTGTTTCAACTGTCACCGACCATGGTGTTAAATAGATATCTTCTTCATAAATATTTAGTATAATCTCTTTTAATAGCTTTTTCTGTCGCTTTGTGAATGGAGATGGAGTCTGTTTAATTTGTGAAACGCAAGCTGTTATTATTTTTGGCTTGCACATGACGTCACCAAAAATCAATCAAAGAAACTGTCGATTACTCTGAGTTTATACTTTCACGAGGTATTACAACACCTAAACGACTTAAAATAAACAAATTTTTTGTTCGAAAGGGTACTTTTTTTCGAGAGAGAGAGGACGCTTAAAATTTCCAGGCTTTTGCGTGACGCGGCATTTAGCTGACGGCAGGAAAAGCTCTTAGGTGGGTTAAAAACATTACCGGTCTTGGGAGACTTTGCTATCTAAACTTTCCTTGTGTCAGAATAAATACTACTTTAATCTTTATGAGTTCCTCAAGAGAAGAATTCACGCATTAGAAGGAAAACTCGAAAACAGATCTTTCTGTTGGTTTCCGGCGGCCATATTGGTGTCCATGTAATAAACCGTGTACCATTTTGTTAATGAAAGACTTGTCGCAATTTGAAACAACTGCCCTGTCACAAATGTGTAATAAACATTGCGCTTTGTCATATTCTTCTTGAGAGTAATTCAACTTACCTGGTTAACAGTAACATCTTGTCTTTGGTACTCAGGGAATCACCTATTAAAATCAGTAAAACTCTTGCTAAATGATAAAAAATTTCTTGACGGAATTTCGTAGTCCTGCAACATTTTCGAAAGATTTAAATAACTTGGATAATTGAAAACCTGACACCCTGTGATGCTTTAAAAATATCCATATGGTAATTTTTGGTTTTAAGAAATTAAAGATAGAAATGGACGCCTCGCTTTTAGCCTTGGTATAATCATAAGTTTTGTAATTATGAAATTGACGAACTCTTAATTAATCTTTTTTCAGGAGTCAAAAAAATTCGGGTAAACAAAGCAAGCCCCTTATTACCAAAACTCAAGTCATAAGGGACTAAAACCATACTTTCAGTAGTTTCTTTTCGAAGTGCAGCAACATTTTTTATAAAGATTTAAATAACTTGGCTTATTGAAAACCTATCACTCTGTGTGATGTCTTTAACAAAATCATATCATAATGCATTATAACCACTGCATCCATCATTAGCCACTGATCTTCACTCCCTGATGGTTTCTTATCATTTGTTGTTGGGTTTTCTCAAGTTGCTTAGCTTTTCAAAGAATGCTAAAACCTTGATAGAGCTCTTTAAAAAATTTCAGCTAGTCTCTCGAGCAAGAAAAAACGAAGAAACGGTAATTTTTGGTGTAACGTCCGTCAATGAAAACAGTAATTAAGGTGGCTCGTTCCTATTTATATGCGTTTTGGTTATGTTTTTGATTCGCCTTTTTCAGAATGAAAGATTCAACCGATTTCTATGATTTTTGACATCTGTAATAAATAATAATGGAACTTTAAGAAAATTTATTTTTTTGTAAGTATAAAAACTTTTGAGATATCGGCATATATTTAAAGCCGCATTTTTACGAAAAATGTAAATAACTTCGAAATCCCACGACAGATTTTTCCCTAACTTCAGAAAATAAGCCTCAGCGCTCTCTAGTTTTACATCTGCAAGTTTGAAGGCAATCGTGACCGTAGAACTCGCTGCACAAAATTCTGGTCAAATTTAACCTTAAAATGCTACGCTAACACATTTGTGAAAGTTGACACACGAATAGAGGTAGTGTGCCGACAGACTATCTCTTATCTGAAAGGATATTCCTACCTAAAGCTTTATTGCAAGAAACAGAGTAATGAGAAACCTACGGCAAACATAGTTAGCACTACAAGAAGAACAACTTTATGCTGAGTGCGCGGTAATATTAAAGAACTTCTATTTATCAAACTTACGTTGTATTTGTCCCCTCTCTTTTGGAAACAAATCTTAACGAAGCAAAATATAGCATCTACGAAAACCTCTCAAGAGTTTTTAGCGTCGCAGGTTCCCGTTCTGAAGAGAAATAAGGCCACCAACGCCAGTACCTCTAACCATCCATTTTTCAGTTGCAAAGAAAACCTTTGTATTTGGTAATTTATTCAAGCGTTTTAGACTTGCCATCACATTCGCAAGGGAAGTTTACCACTTGGGAATAAAGATGAAGACAAATATGACAATCGTCTTATTCTTCTCATTATCCTCAACAGCAATCTGCCCGTGCGAATGTGATGGTAAGTCTTAAAAGCGTGAATAAATTACCAGATATGAAGGGTTCATTACAGCTGAAAAATGGATGGTTAGAACTACTGGCGTTGGTGGCCTTATTTCTCTAAAAACTCTTGAGAGTTTTTCGTAAATGCTATATTTTGCTTTGTTAAGATTTGTTTTCAAAAGGGAGGGACAAATACAAAGTAAGTGTGATGAATAGAAGTTCTTTAATATCACTGTACGCACTCAGCTTAAAATTGTTCTTCTTAAAGTGCTAACTAAGTTTCTGATTACTCTGTTTCTTGCAATAAAGCTTTAGGTAGGAATATCCTTTCAGATACGAGATAGTCTGTCGGCAGTCTTCCTCTAACCTTGCTTCAACTTTCACAAATGTGTTAGCGTAGCATTTTAAGGTTAAATTTGATCAGCATTTTGTGCAGCGAGTTCGACGGTCACGATTGTCTCCAAAATTGCAGATATAAAACTAGAGAGCTCTGTATACAGGTGGTTTTCATGCAATCTCGGGAGACAGAAGTAACAATATGAAATGAACAAATGCTGGTGGACAAACAAAGCGAGCTGATGAGCGATATTTTGTTTACCGTCCACCAGCATGGCGGCGATGACGTAACGTGAAAACCACCTATATGCCGATATCTCAAAGGCTTTTATATCTACCAAAAATAAATAACATTTTCTTAAAGTTCCATTATTATTTATTACAGATGTCAAAAATCATAGAAATCGGTTGAATCTTTCATTCTGAAAATCGCTAATCAAAAACATAACCAACACGCATATAAATAGGAACGGGCCATTAATTAAACACGAACAAGGCTACATGTCAAAATATGTTTCATGTCAGTCTTGACAGAGATCAACGTCATAATTAAAAAGCGAATCTCAAAACAAGAGAATCTCATATCTAAAGTTCATTACAACAGGGCGATAAAATTATTTCAAATTGCGACAGCTCAGTTTATTGCAAAGTGCAATGGATAGTTCATACATATTGCTACAGCTAGTTCTTTACTACAAAGTGCGAACATCTGTAGCAATTTGTAATAAGCCGTGTACAGAGAGTTATGATTATTACAGCTGAAGAAAAAAGCGTTTCAACTGAAACAAATTTCTCTCTATCTTTTAAAGGCAAAACCTATAGAAAGCCACCATGGTATAACTGGTCTCACCGAACTAATTTTATTCATAAAACACGCCATTTATCCATGTGGATTCGATACGCCGATTTAGCCTAAGACCGGAAGTTGCATGAAAGCGAGGCCTATGGGCTATCTTTCGAGCGAATCTCAAAAATCATGGCGGAAAACACCGACACTTTGCATGGAAGACATGAAATGCCTTCTGATGCAAACCTTACACCAAAAGACATTCCATGTTCATCCGTGAAAAATGGAGAAGACATAAGTAAATGGACAATTCCACAGTTGAAATTTTGGTTGAAATACAGAAGACCGAACCAACAGGGACTGAAGAAAGACCTTGTCGAAAAGTAAGTTTCACAGCACCTGTATTACATAAACACTCTTATCTAATCTACCACGCTAGTCAAAAGAAATTCGTTTTCGCTAAAATCTTTTCTTTTCTGCTTTTAATTTGAGATTTCTTTTTTTTCTGGGGCAGGGTTAGGGTATTAAACGCGATTCCTTACTACAGAGAGAAAGTTTACGACCCTGATCCTGAGAAGAACTACACGAAAGCTTAAGACCCTCAATATCGAAACAGTCCAGACTGAGCTGATCGACCAACAAGCAATCTCGTGTAGTTCGATTTTAGACACTTTCCCACCGGATGAAAACACTCAATTTTCAGGACTTTTCTGTTTTGCCCCCATTTGTGCCTATGGATGCTTTTGAGCAGGTAAAAAATTCCGGTAAATCCATGAAGAAATTTACCAATGCGGAAGTTGTTATAAACTGAAATGACAAAGGTCTCCGTATGGTCAATTTTGTGCATAATTTACAGGTGTATAATAACATGGAAAATAACATCATATACGTCCGTGCTTTCTGTTGGGCTTCCTATAAGATGAATGTTAAATACAAGGTGAAAATGATTTGTAAACAAAGCGGGACCCCAAAGATTCTAGCAGCAAAGTGTGATAGGCAGTGTCCGGCTTCCAACAGTCGGTGTTGCTGTCATGTTATGGCGCTCATATGGAAACTTGAGGACATGACGAGAAAGTCAGAGCTAAAAAATATCACTCCTGACAACAGAGCTGCACATCAAAACCGAGGGAATGGGGAAAAGGGGGTAGACGAGAAGTAGAGTTCTCTCCAGTGATGGCTTTAAAAATAACAAAACCAAGACATGCGTCTGACTTACCTGGTAGGAAGAAAAGGAGTAATGACTCTCAGTTTTACGACCCCAGACCATTGAAATCACAGAAACTTGATGCTGATGGAATTGTAAAACTGAGGCAATATCTTCAGAAAATAAATGCTCGTATACCCTTTGCTGCTATGTTACCAGAGGAAAAGACAATTCAAACAGTAATGACTATAGTTGGCACTGTGGCTAAAGGTTCAACAATTCATAAGCAACTTCAAGATTATTCCCGGCAGCCTCCAAATTTGGTAGTACCCTATGTTAGTAGTTCCTCCCTTGCCGGTAAAGAAAATGTGAATCCTGTCTCAAATGGGCAAGCACTGAATTCAAATTCAAGTTTGAATCATGAAATCTCTGCTCCACCTTCCACTGTGCAGTGTGAATCAGAAATGGCACCCCTTAGCACTCCTTCTAATGATTATGATGAGCTACAGCTTCAGCAGATATCAGATTGTAATGTTAATAACCAACAGCAAGAACAGAATATTTCAAGTTTTATTGAAAGTACAATTGATTCATCTGAAGTACAACTGCCAACAGTCCAAACAGAAACATTATTTATTGAAACTCTTACAGAAAAGCAAAAGCAAATTGAAATGACAACAAGAGGACAATCAACGAATCCTGCTTGGTTTGAACAAAAGAAAAACAGAATAATTGCCAGTATCTGTAAAGATGTCTTTTCTCATATGCAAAAACAGGGGTCAAAATTACCAGAAAAATCTAGTAAAAAAAAAAAAACAGAAAAAGGAGCACCCCAAATAATGGTCAGCTATTCACAAGCCAAACATGTTAATTATAAAAGTAAAGGATTGATCTTTGGTATTGAAAATGAACTTGTGGCAGCTGATTTGTACAAAGAATATCTCTTGTCATTGCCAGACATCAAGGAAGTGACAGTTCAAGAGATTGGATTAAATTTAGACAAAGAAAATGATGTTCTTGCAGCAAACCCTGACAGAATTGCAACAATAGTGTATGCCAATGGTGAAATTGAATACAGAAATGTGGAAATAAAATGTTTAGAGTCCAATCAGGATATGTCACCAGAGACTGCAATAAATAATCATCAAAGAAAAGCAGTTTCCCATTTATGGAACTGAACTCTGTCTTTGTAGTAAACGAAAAGCACAAATATTGGTTTCAGTCCCAGATGCAAATGGAGGTCAGTGGAATTCCATTAACTGACTTCGACATATTTACCAACAACACATTTCCAGTTTTGGTTCTCAAGGTCACATCATCGTCTAGGTGGGAGGATGAAATTAAGCCTAGTTTAATTGCTTTTCACAAGAAATATATCTCAAAATAAAAACAGTTGTGTTTTTAGAACGCAAAGCAACACTATTAGTTTCTTGAAAACTGATATAAGTTGACTCTAACAAAATGTCTGCATAAGAGATGTTCTAAAGCACAAGGAATGGAATTCAAGTTATACTTTACAAGTGATGGGATGGTGGTGGTAGGGAAGGTGAAACTAGATATTTTTATGTATTGTTTTTGAAAATTTTGACCGCTATTATTAGGATTTGTCTTACAGATAGACTTTTAGTTTTGAAAAAAAGACAAATTTTGGTTTTATTTTCTATATTATATCACCATCATCATTACTATAACAAATATATTTTCTTCAATCACACTCAGTCTCCATCAGTTTTAAATCTGAGTACACAATCTACCCATGCGCATTTGACAGAATAGTATTATTTTTGCATTCACTTTTTCACATATCAAGTCCTTCAATTATTGAAAAAACCCTAACTAGAGACTTATACAAAGTAACAAGACCTGAACAGCTTCAGAATCTTTAGTTTAACATTCAATTCCTCAAAAACACACTTGTTAGTTCCCTGATATAAGAACCCATCGCTTCCAAAAAACTGAAAGCTTCCATTCTTTAAACTGAAATAATTGGATATTGAAAATTTACTAACAAAGCACATACAGTCCAGATCTGATTTATGGACCCAAAGCTGGAAAGAGACAGAACTTGACTAAAAATATGCCAAGCCTTGATTCATTTAATTGCTCTTTCATCATGAATACGCACATTTCCTATACTCATGGTCTCGAAACACTGGCTTTGAGTGAACTGGTCATTGGCAGAAAATCTCTTTGGAGGAATATATAAACTTGCTCCTCTGAGGGCCATTAGGTCATGGATCTCAAAGCCCTTGTCTGCAAGGTACTGGTCCCCCATTTCAATTAACTGACAGAAGTTACTCTTCTGCACAATTTCCTTATCACTTATTGTTCCTGGATACAACTGACTAACAAATGTTATCCATCCACTCGGTGAAACGCAGATGAGCCCTTTAAATGTGTCGTGAGATTTATAGTCTGAGTACATTTCTGAGTGCTTCTGATAATCCTTGGGCAACTCACATTTCAGCTCTGTGCAATCAAGAATTCCACGTACGTTTTCATACTTTCGTTTAAAGGAATCTGGCAAGTGTTGGTTTATTTTGTCTCTTGAAGGCCATAAAGGCAAACTTCCCAACATTATGTAAAGGTAGTTTGCCCAAGTAATAAAAACATCAGACACGGTACTTACAGAGACACTAAATCTATGTGCCAAGTCACGCTCGAATAAGCCAAGACGCACCCTTGTTAGAAACAACCACAGCTGATCGATGGGCTCTATTTCTTTCTTTCTATTTCTTTGTTTCTCCTGTCTTTGCAAAAAAGGAAATAGATTAGCATTGTTTGCGGAGCTTTCTTTTAATTTTTCGCGTGCTGTGTTCCACGACATCAGAGACCCAGAGCAAGGTTTAATAAAGTTCCAAAATGCCATCAAAGCTCGGTAACTCTGAAATCCTGTGTACAAAAATATGTCATCATCATTCGATCCAAACCTCTCCAACCCAAATTTTGAAAGAAACAGCTTTTGTTGAAGATCATAATTCTCGGCAACCAAATCTCTCTCTCCTTCGAATGGTTTTTCACCTGAATCTTCGTCTTGAGTCTCCTTTGCTTAGATGTCAGGTGTATCGTATGAGTGATGTTTATTTTCCATACTCTTGGATGGGATCGCAGAAAGTTTAATCCTTTAGCATTTCGACTTTTGGCTCTTTCGGACCTTTCAGAGGCTTCGTCATTGCCAACTGACCATGGGAAATGGAAGGAACAGCATTCTTTACAAGATCACGTCTTTTGCCGGTAAGGCTTTTCCTGTAGTCCTTCTCACTAAAATGTTCAGAACAGCAGAAGAGTGAGCTGTACACTTACGAACCTCGACGACAAACGTCCGATCGAAACACATCAGTAAGAATTGTTGAAAATCATGTCCACCCACCATGTTCAACTGAATTTAACAAACGTCCACTGTTTGTTCTGAATCGATTCTGAATAAGGAGGTTCCTCTATATTGTGAGAGCAAATTGCAAATTCCTACTAAGACGATCGAATGCATCGAAGTAAAAGAGAATTCTCTACTTACAGCAATCGCCAACATTTTTGATGAAGATATTGGTCCAAATTCGTCCTTTGAAACATTTTGAAGTGTTTATGCTCCCTAAAGGTTTTGATACGCCCAAAATAACCTTAGCAGAAGATAAAATATTACAGGCACAAGAAGTGACATTATTCAGAAATTTCCGTGGATCAACATAACGTTTTTGAGGTCGAAGAAAATGCGAATTGTACAGTCGATGATATTTATTATTTTTCTGCAGTACAAGTATTCGATCCCCCTTCACGAGCCATATTGAATTAATTAGTTTTAAGGAGTATTGTGGGATGCCCAGGGGGGTATGAGCACCACCCGATGTACTCGCTCAGTATTTACGCGCGCTTTTCGAGACAATTTTTCTTAAAGTTTTCCCAGAATAAGATGGATTGCAATGGGAAAAAAAATCGTTGTACCTTGTTTGAATGTAATAATGATCGCCTTTTATCCGAGAAATAGTACAGTGAAATACCATAACAATTTCTTCGGAGTGTCCACAATATTGTTTCTTTTTTCAGTATCTGACTTCTCCTTTTTAGTCCTAATTGGTTTTACTGGAATCCTGTCTATGGGAGTCTTTCTCTTACGCGTTACTCTTTCCCGATCATAACCCGTCAGAGAGAGCGTGGGAAGAGGATGACTGCCAACTGATCTTCCAAACTTAAAATGATTTAAGCAAACTTTAGTATTTTTAGTCACCTTAAATCCCTCTCGGCTCAGTAGTCTCGTTCAAGTAGCCAAGTGCCTTGGGTCCTTGCAAGAGCAGAAATGTACCTCCGATCGCGAAGAAACTGGTACGGTTTTTCACCATATATTTTCCAGGAAAACGGCAATCATTATTACACCCAAGCACGGTACAACGATCTTTTTTCCCATTACAATCTTATTCTAGAAAAATGTTCAGAAAAATTGCCTGAAAAGCGCACGTAAATGCCGAGCGAGTACATTGGATCGTGCTCATGCCTCTTGGTCATCCCATAATACTCCTTAAATCTAATTAATTCAATATGGCCGTCTTATCGGTAAAAAGGTCTATTGTTTCGGAAGAAACAAGCATTGATTTAGTAAAAATAAATTGTTTCTTTCTTTTTGTATTTGTTTACAAAGCTGGTTAGTTTGTTTGCTTTTTTGCTGGTATTGAGTACACAAGTTTCCAGATTTATTAGGCAACAAACAGCAGTCTTCAACCTTCAAGAAATATGAAATATATAAAGCTCAAACTTGTCAGTGTTCCTTCAGCTAATAGACACATCCATCACAAGAATAGTTCTTCACCTTTAATTCCAGCCTTCAAAAATTCATTATTATGACACGCACGGTAACTATCTTGAAACTCAAATGACCTTCCCAATAAGGAAGCACCTCAAACTTTTCTGCCCCCCACCCGCCGCCTGATTTCGCCAATGCCCGCCCGCTCCCCAAAGGATAAATAATGAACACTCCCTAAATCAAGAAAGAACTGAGAAGTTACACAATATTTTGTCCAGCAAATAAGTCACTGAAACGATACATATCAACCTTTCATAAAACAAAAAAGAACAAGAAATTATTAAATCATGTTACCCTACGATAAGAGCGTCATCATGTTGTTCTAGTTGACAAAATATTTTGCGCCCTCTTCATAGACTCTTCATATTAACAACCAAATACCTTGCGAGCAGAAGTTTTTCACTTGCATGCCACGGTTTTAGCGTTTGCGAAGTCGTTCGCTTCGCTTGGTATTCTGGTACGAAACAAACCAACTACGCGACTGACAAGCGATCGACGCGAACGACTTTGTAAACGTTAAAAGTCACGTAAGAAACCTCTGCTCATAGGGTAACAGTCAAAGAAACAGACACGCGTTTTAAGAAAACCCAAGACAGTATACTTTATTAGTGACAAATAAATTAAGAATACATGTATCATCATCACAAAAAAAAGAGTTCTCTAAAGCCGGACAAGTAAACCCGGAAAACTAATTTTCGAAAAAATGGGGACCATGTACTCCCAACCAGTGCTATGGTGATGCCTTATTGGGGTTTTAAGGCCTGATAGCGTACATAAATACGAGAAAAAAAAATTCAAGTTAAGGCAATAGAAGTACATCTCTCGTCTTGGCTAAAAGAAAAGAAAAAGAAAGCGTTTGTTTGCTTACTAGCCTGCGAAAACAGACGTTTCTCCACGCTTCTCGCCGCTTTGGAGGTTTTGCCAAGAGAGACGTCTGCGCATCAGCAACAGAAACTCCATACTGATGACGTATTTGGAATCTGGTCAGGAGCTCTGATTGGTCGACGAAGTAGTTATATTGTTTTAGCTATTGTTTACGAATGACAGACAAAAGATAGAAGGCCACAAAGGTCAAAGATAAGCGCAACGAATCTATAACAAAACTGTCAGCATTCGTGGAATATGGTCTTAAAAACGAGAAGAAACGGCTGTTTTGGCAGGCTATGCGCTGACTGAAGTTGAATAGTGACCCTAGAATAGCTAAACCTAGCCCTAACCCTAACCCTAGTTGACCCTAGAATAGTGCGACTTGAACATGTCACGACTGTCTCCGTTTCAAAGCGCACAAACAAAGATATCAAAGCGTTTTAAGCGCGTAATAATTTAAAGCCTGCAAAATATCAAATTGTGTTTACTGAACCAATGTAAAGGTTTGAAAGCTATGATTCCGTACCTTCACTTGCGAGATAGCCGCTATAATTTTTCCTTCAGACAAATTCGTATGAGACAAAGCATTTCCTTAGAACCTCTCAAAAACTTCATGCATTAGAAGGTTATTGCTGGTTATGTTACTTGCTTAAGCTATGAAATCAGCGCCGTCAGTTGCATTAATTAAGAAGAATTGAGAAGTTCCAAGTTACGCTCTTACGTAAAGCGTAGCTGTGATAATTCTACATCTCACTAGATCCTGCCGATTTGTAAAATAGCTTTCTCACTTTACATCATGGGTCTCACATTTTTTGAATAATGACTTTATTCCATGCACATCTAGCAGGAAACTAGTACTGATTATAACAAATAAACTACGGATTCTTATCAACCCTTTTGCTGTAATTGCCTCTTAAGAATACCAATCCTTATTCATAAATGTTTATTTCCGATCTTGCTTTCTATTTCGTAAAGTTCTAAACACTGATTATTACTACGAGAAAGTATTGCTGAAAGAGTTTTATTTCCATGGTGGCATCATAGGGTTTGCTAAAAAAAACTGCGAGGTAACAGCTACAATTACTTATTTTCATAAATCGTTCATCATCATCATCGTCATCATCATCATCATCATCATCATCATCAGTGTCATTGTCATCGTTAGTGTCATCAACATAATCGTCAGCTTCCGTCTTTTTCATGACCATCTTCTTCATCGTCATTATCGTTATTACCATCGTTATCATCCTCTGCGTCATCGTCCCTGTAGCGGCATCAACATAATCGTCAGTACTTTCAGAATGAGTTTTTGTCATCATCATCATCATCATCATCGTGTGCATCAGTCTTTGTCAGCTCATCAGCATCAGCATCACAATTTTCGTCATTGTCAGCGTCAGTCAGCACCGTCATCAGCATCATCATTATTATCATCATCATCGTCATGGTCGTCATCGTCATCAATGTAACAGGCATCAGTCATCTTGCCCTTTCCACATCGCAATACCTCAACAGGCTGCCTTGCTTGTTAACGTTCACTGCTCCTAAATCTCTCAAGAAGTCAAGACCATACATTTAACTGAACTTATTATCAAACCTTTTTATACATTTATTTCCTTTTTTGACCTTTTTCTTTGCCTTAATTTTGTCCTTCCAATTACCGGTAGTCCAACAGCATTGTATTATTTGAAGTGTTATTCCAACTGGCCTCAAATCCTCCGAGAAGAAAGCCAAGGCGGTCCGAAGAAAAAAACGTTCAAGTCGCTAATTATTTTGTCTTTGCTGTTGTGTCATTACAGTTCTATGGATTCAGTTAAAATAGCTGGATTTGGATGTCACCTAAATTACTAAAGTTTCAATGTACGTTTATCATCGTCGTTGTTTGAGATCATCATTACCATTTCCTTTGTGGTTATCATCATCGTCATTGCCATCAGCAAGATAATCGTCAATAGGTGTCTGTCATTTATCTAGCTCTCTACTGGCTTCTACTCATGACAGTGCCTTGTTAGCCTTCCCCTGAATCACGCTAGAACAAAAAGACTGCAAGAAAATTTAGTAAAAGTTCGGAAGGAATAAAGGTTCAGCTACGTCCTTTCACTCCAATATTTTTGCAGTTTTGGTACACGTTTAGTCGATTCAATTCTTTACAAAACTGTCAGAATTTCAGCGCGGTTTGGATCCGAGACTAATTTCTTTTCAGTCTAGTC